TAGTTTGACAATGGGACGCGCAAAATTATCACAAGTTCGGACAATACTCAATTCGACCAAAGGCTTGTTAGGCCATTTTCCAATTAAAACAACTAACAGTTCTTTCAAGTGTTAGACAATGTTTGATGCGTGCAGAATTGTTCAACAATCACTGATCAGTCTATCTACCAATTAGTGCAAAGTGCAATGCTAGAACTGTCTTGGGATGCGCGTTGGCCGGTAGATATTGCTCAGTCTTTTTCGTTCGGTAACAATTTCACACCGAAACTTCTCTTGYTTTCTTAATCTCAAAAGTCACTAGTATAGTAGAATAAACCTATCTCTGGCATTGATCAACGGTGACATTTTTGCTCAAATTTTTCTCATCTTCATTAATATTCAGTTGTTTGTTCTAGTCATTTCTACTTTCTTTCCAGTTACTTCTACCTTGTTTCCATTTACTTCTACCTTTTTTCAAACTACTACTAACTAATGATAATCATTAGAAATAATTGTGCATAGAATTCATGATTTAGTGAAGAAAAACGTCTTTGAAACGTGACACACTCACGAATGCGCCGTCTTTTAAGGCCGATTTAGACGGTGCAACTTTTGCCTACAACTTTCGCATGCAACATGCGTTAAGTCATCCTTATAACGTGGCTACAACTGTCGTAGGGCTATCAAACAATTTTTTTTAATCTCTACGACAGTTGTAGCCATGTTGTAAGGATGAGCTTAAGCAGGTTGCATGCGATGGTTGTAGGCAAAAGTTGTACCGTCTAAATCGGCCTTTATACCATTACACTTACGAGTTTCCGATGCGATTCCTCGGAAGGTAACATATTTATGAATTAGGCTCAGTCATTAGGAATAGAGTGGTTTTCATTAGCCCTTGAAATACATAGCGTATTTATCGCTATTACACTTTGGCTCTAAATTATATTGTCTCTACGCGACTATTACGATCTATTACACTCTAATTATTACACTTTGTTTCACGGGTTTATGAAAACCACTCTACTTATTCATTTAATGTTTATTCTCCTAAGATAGTTTTCACTAGTACAAGGAGATGCAATAGTAGACAAAGCAAATTTGAATAGTTTTTGTTTCAGAAACCCGTTCRGAATTTGTATAAATCAGTGAGCAATGCACACACTGATATGAATACTCTCAATTAGCAAATTCAAAAGAATAATTAACTTGTTATCGAGACCTAAGAGCAACTGAAAAGGTGTATTGCAGAACACAAAMGGTTCCTATTGGAAAACTATGAAAACTAGAAACCTGACTATAGATGCAACGTATCAATATATTTCTGTTTTATATATTTTTTATATATTTCTGTTTTATGTATTTCCTTCGCTTTTTTCCCCTAACGCTTCGGACTGTAACTAATTGCGCGGACACGAAATTCCGTCCAGTCCTCATTGTCGGACTTTAAACATTACATCTGTTTTGTATCTTTTTTACCTGTGGTATACGTCATGCATGATACCATGAGATCAAAAACTAGTCTGTGACAGACTAGTTTTTRATCCCGCGAGGCAAGGGATTATTGACGTACATGTAACAGGTAACCCTTCCTACAAAATAATGTCAACAACAAAAGTCAATTTACATATTTTCTTTCATATTTATTTAAAATYGAGCTATTCATTTGTTGTGCTATCTGATATTACAGATTTTTCGAGGGGAATGATATGCAAAGCATTCTTGGCATGTTTTAGTTTCCACCATCGACCAAGACGATGTTCTTGACCAACACCAGCAAATAACGTACTGCCATCACTTGAAAAGGACAGTGAGTTAACAAAACCAGTCTGAAAAAAACAACAGAAAAAAATGCAAGCTACAATTTGGATCCAATTATAATAAAGAGGGGATGATTGAATTTACACCCCAAATTCACCTTTTAAGGTTTTTCATTTTCAACTAAATTCCCAAAAGCCTCCTCAAATTCTGCCAACATTAACTATGACTGGAAATTATAGTAAGTTGCATGACTGCATTTATCAATATTGCTGTACAGTAGTGAGAAAAACCTCTGAATTTTCAGTCACRCAAGCAAACCAAATAAATAGTAGAGTTAATTAGTAGAGCTTTCAAAATGGGTTTTCTGGTGGCTTTTTGATGTACACAATAGTTCATCAATCCCATTCCATTAAATGTGATGGGCAAAAAAAACATTACATGTAGATTTATATTTTCATATAACGAAACCTCCAGACTACAAAAAATACATGGATTAAGACATGTATGATCATTATAGCAKAATACRTTAAATTKCATGARTAAATCCTACAACTTCCTTCRGCCAAAAACATACATTCTAATTTCCCAAAAACAAATAGACCTATGAAGCTTTTTACATCATGTACCRTATACGCAATGCATTGTAGGATATTTTTTGGGACAGAACATGGCAGATTTCTTTTGTTTTCAATCTTGAAACTAATCCCACAATGCATTGGAAATCAAATAGTGGCGTAAAAGGTTCAGAGGTCTATTAATAATGGTAAATGAATACTTACCACCGGTATTGTAAACATTGGTTTTAAACTTCTATACCCAGGTCCACAYTTCCATACTCTTATACAAGAATCACAAGATCCTGCTGGTGTCAAAACAATCAAGCAACTAATCACTAGTTAATTTGTTAAAAGAATTAAACTGCACCATGTATGCATACAATTTATCATACACTTACCTGATGCTACAAGATCTGTACTCTTTACAACGGCAAGTGAAGTTATCCATGTTTCATTAGGAATGCTATCATSCTGGTCATTACTTGGTGTACCGTGTGCATTATTAACTGTACATAGAGGTTTCTTCTTGTTGGTRCTCCACATGCAGATTGACCTGTTTCAAAGTAATGATCACAAAGGTTTCAAAAGCAAATCCACAAAATACGTGTGAAGGTACAAAAAAAATGTAATGTCTCCAGCATCTTAACAGTGCACAACAACACAATTCAACATGAATGCCAGACAATTGCAATGTTCAACTGATGAACTGTTTGAGTTGCATGGTTGCCATAGACAAAACAATCTGTCATAGCAACAATTTTCAGCAAAGAGTCAGGACTCCAGAGAGGGGGAAATGTAACATGTAATATTTAAAAATCCTTATTACCCGTCATCTGCACCAGATATCATGTGATCCTCA